ACTTTAACAGATTACTACCGATGTACAAGATATTGCAATCTTCTTTGATTGATGAAAAAATCAATGATCTTAGAAATTTCAAATCCTTCTCTTTCATTAGCGTGGATTGATGATGATCATGACAATCAATTTGGAATAGTCAATTCTATATACAATTCAAGCAAGGAAACATGAAACAATGGATGCAATTATATAAATTATGGCGGATTAAACATGTATGCTACTTCATTGAACTACTTATTCACACAAAAAGGTTCAAGATGTCGATAGTCAAATTTGTCACTCAATTGAAGAATCTTTAGATTGCGATGCAAAAGTCAAATTTTATCTCAAACTCAAATATTTGGATTATTTTGTGAGATTTGTCTGCATTTTCACATATCTTTAGATTGCAATCTGAGTTTTTGAATTATTGAGATTTTTTGCAATTATATCCTACCGTTTTTGAGCTTCTACAAATCTTGACTTCATATCTCTGTCTAGTGATCAGATCTTGCACAGCCGGATTTTTTGCCAAAATCAAATTCAAAAAGCCAGATTGTGGATGAAATTCATAGTTTGCACCCCCAAAAAAAGTTTGGCAGATATAATCTTGGAATTTATTATTGTAGGAAAATTCTTAGACTAGAAGTAGATCTATCCACGTGTTTAAATGAAAGTTGATGAAGCATCTTCAATAATACTTTAATATTTAATTCATCTGTTTGATTTGTACGTCCGTCTAAGTATGATAAGCCAATGATAGATTGATCTTCACTTGTAACATCTAGAACAAACATTGCCAAAAATTAAACAAAAAATCAACAACCCCAATCAGAAATGATCTTGTTGAAAATTCCATGATATTTGTACACATTCTTCAAGTAAATTTGTGCTGTTTTTTTATATTATAGTCTTTTTGCACAACACAAAGTGTTTCATCTTTGTCAAGGAGTCCATCACAACAAGAATTGAATCAAAAGATTTGAACTTTGAAACTTCCACAATGAAATCCATGGATATGAATGTCCATGAGGTTTTTGGAATCAACAGCGATTGAAGTAATGTATATGGCCAATGACGAATGATATTGGATCTAGAGCAAGTGTCACATATCAAGACATAATACTTCATGGTTGTTTAAATTTGAAATCATTTAAAATTTATCGATATCAGCTCTAATGTAACTAAAATGTCTCATTGATAGAGAGTCATGATGACACTGGAGCACTCAAAGTCAACATGTCTCATCATGAACATAAAGTAATCTTTGGTATCATAATAGCCCGTCTTGGAAATGGAACCTTGAATCATAATCATGCGATCTTGAAAACCGTGACCTGAAAGTATATTGATTCGGAAATTTTGAATCTATAAATTTTGAGCCTTAACTTGGATATACTTTAGAAAAAAAAGCCAGCATTGTTCTTTAATTTCAAGGCCAAATAATTGAATTTTAAATGTAATTAGATATCTTGGAAAGAAGATGCATACATCAAAGTTGTCATGCGCACGAGCTTCAATTGAAGTTGTTTAGACTTATGAGAATAATTGTTTGTTGGTCATAAGCTTCATTTACTTTCCAAGGTGCAAAATACACTAGTCAAAAAAAAAAAGCGTTGGATCACAATTTCTCGAAACAGAGACTGTACGTGATAACAAGGTTGAATCTCAAAGCAATGCACTCCAATGAGCTTGTCGTTGATTCATTATCTTGACAAACATGAAGAACTCAAGGTTTTTATGATCCATGTTGATCCTGACTGGATATTGAGCTACTTCAAAGTAATGATGCCACTCTTGAAACAAATCGACAATGGTTAATTCGTGGAACTCATCATTGATCTTGGCAACGGTAAATTTTTATAGGAGAAACGCAAAAATATAGAGTTGACATCTTCTTTGGATTGTGAAAGAATTGCTCAAATGTCAAAATCAAAAGCATCCGTTTTTAGAAAGAACTACATCTAAAAATCGAAATGCGTTCAAATAGGCATCATTTTTTACAGCTTCTTCAGAGTTTGAATGCTTACTCTGCTTCTGCATTTCACTCTAGCTTGTCTTTGAGGATCAATCTTGTTATCGGAATAGCAATTTTGGAATAAATTTAAATCAAAATTTGATAAAAGTTTACAAATTCAAAATAAGATTGTATGTCTCAAACAATAGTAGTTTTTTTCCATTTGATGAATCTCCAAATTTTCTTTAAATACATACATAAAACCTCTCCAAAAATGATGTAGGCCAAGAACTTGACTTAAAATTGATGAAAAATACACTTCTCTAGTTTAACGTAGAGTACAACAATGGATAGCATTTTCAATATTAATTAACTATGGTTGATGTGCTCTTGTTCATTTTTGGAGATCCTAGACAACAAACTCAACCTAAAAAATTTTGAAACACATTGTTCATCAAGTGTTGAAAGATGATAGTGTGTTGGTAAGACCAAAAGATATGACATTGTATTCAAAATGTTCATACCTAATTTGGAACGCCATCTTTTATTTTTATCTTTCTTTAAATGTGCTTGGTTGTACATTACACAAAAATCAATCTTGGTGTGGATCTTTGCTTTATCAAGTTTATAAGAGGTTTGGAAATAAACGGCAATCGATACAGGTTCTTGATGTGATATTTTTTTGGCCATAATAGTTCACAAACATCCAAAGGTGGCCGTCTTTGAAAAATAAGATAAGAGCTCTTGTAGGTGATTTGAAATGTCAAATGAAGTTCTTCGCAAGAATTCTATCAGATTAATCTTGCTATGCGGCAAGCTCGTTTTGGAAGAGGTTGTAGATTGGATCAAAGTAAGATTGCACACATCCTTGGAGTTTGATTGTCAAGGTATGTAGTCAAGACTCCAAAATCACTTCACATGTGTAATCCTTGACATCAATGCAATAATCATAAGGTCAATGTTGAGGAAGTGTATCAGCGTTGTTCTTCTCAAACAAGTTTTGATACTTCTCATATTTTACTGGTAATTTAGTTGGTTTTTACATTTTGAGATGTCAAGTATATCAATTACAAACATATTTCTATTTTTTTCAGTCCTCATAAAGACTTGAACATCGATTTTCAACAAAACTTTGACTTTGGATCCTTGTACTTTGTAATGACAAGGATTTGTCTTGGCTCAAAAGCGCTTGAGGTGTACCAAAATTTTGCAGCTTTGTGTATTATCTTTAGTTAGTTAGAACAAAAGTAGACAGTACTCTAGATGAATATATAATTATATCCTAGTGGACTATCCATAATCGTTACGTCACAAATTTGTGTGCTTGATAGGTAGAAAGTAAGTGTGTTGGTTGACACCAACACATTAGCAATATGTCTACTTGTAAGATAAAGATTGATGATGTTAGTTATTGTGTTAGTGAGAAATTATTTTTCGTCAAATTTCTTCAAATCCAGTTTTTTTTATTGATTCAAACCTTAACAAACAATTGTAAGAAATTATAAAGTTTGATAGAGGAAGAATGAAAATTTTATTAAGAAAAGTTTTGTTGAGATGTCATAGAAGTTTGAAAAATCGTAAAACTTTTTCCAACTCAGGTCTTGATTTCCTTTAATGTTGGACACAAAAAATACTGTTCACATGTATGGCAGAAGAGAGATATGGGAACCTATATAGCATTAATAATAAAAAATATATGGAAAAGTATGCTTAATGTAAAGGAGTCATATAAGTGCTTCGATCAAGATGTAAGTCAAAGGTGATGCAACGTTGAAATGTTTTTGATATGTTATCGATGGGGAGTGTATGTTATTCACTACAGATTTATTTGTGGGTCTCATGTGGAACCACTTAACACAACCTGCTAATTCCTCTACCCATCACCAACAATGGCGCTCATTTTGTAGTATGTGTAGAGAAACTTGGACCTACATACTGCTCAGTACTCAAAGTTGAGGGTGTTTGGATGTAAGACTTACTTGAACTTACATATAAGCTCTAGGCTTGACCGAAAAAAGGAATGTTTCTAGGACAGGAAAAGAGTAGATCCAACTCCATTTATTGTGATCATTAGCTGCAAGATGACTTTTAGCAAAAAGCCAAAGTCCCGTTCAAACGCGAAGACATATTCTTCGATCGTAGAGAGGGATGTGACAGTTTAGAGCTAGAGACGTGATCTTTAACACCAAATGGTGTTGAGAATGAAACATATGTTTTTGAAATGACAAGTAGTTCAAACATCAAGTAGATGAGAAGGATATATCTGAAGCTTATACATGTAACTCTGAATCCTGTGAAGAAGCATGAAAATGATAAACGATTGAACGATGATAGATAGAACACATATCAAGGTGTCAGAATCCTTGTCAACATCACTAAATTGGCATAAAATGATGAACAAATCAGAAAGACGTGAAGAGACCATGAACCGTGCTAAGTCTCCTTGATTCTGATTCAGTGACTCAAAACATTCCGTTTTGACAAAAAAATTTGTTGTAAACAAGTGGATGTATATACGAAATTCAGTCAATGAAGCTTCATGTGTTGTCAATAGAATAGGCGGAGTCCATGTAAATGAAAATACCCTTAGTAGAATGAGTGGCAACATCCTTAACCAATGCAGCGTCTAAAAATGTCAAGAAAATTAGCAACTTCAGATTCTAGTTTTCAGAAAAGTTATGGATATCTTTTTGCATTCCAACTTGTAGATTTATTATTTAGGTTGAGAAAATGTTTACACTCTTTTGAAACTGATAAACACAAAACAGCATATGTGTATATGCCTTCAATCTTATCTTTTTCATCTATCTGAAGACTTCAGATCAACTCTTTCAGTCTGGTTGTTAGCAATGTTCCAAAATTGCATCCCTTGACCCTCAAAACACTTTCGAGTCATGCCTTGTTTCGCAGTGACTATTAGAAAATGGTTTGATTTTCCTTGTCACCATTCCCATGTTGTGTATGCCTTACGGCTCTTTCCCTTCACTATTCAACGCAGCAATGCAGCACTCTGCATCTCAAATATAACCCGCTGTTAAGCAAGTAAAAGCATGAATAAGCCCCCTTCATCGCCATCAAGTATCTGCTTTTTAAACATACCCACACAATACAGCTTTTTAAAAATTAGAATATAATAAAATATTTATCATGTTCCTCCTAACAAACTGAAAATCTATCTGATGAGGTCATGGTCTCTTTGGGCTTTATATATCACAGTGTGTACATATTGTAATATATAAAGCTGAAATATAAAGAGGATACTGAAACGAATTTTTAGGATAATGTATCAGTATGGTTGTTGAACCACACAAGTGCCATTGAGACGTAGTGGCTACCTAGAAATCCAAGCTTACGAACAGAGACCACGAGGTTAAAATCTCGTAGTTATGCATACACAGTCTATTCTCGTAAACTTTCCGACGGATGATCTTGCAAGTCCAACAAGCCTCTAAGACTTAGTCTTCAACGTCAAGCTTGAGATTCTACTATGTCGGGCGGACCCGACTCCTACATCAGCAGGTGCTGGTATCTATGTTTGAGGGTATTTTGAGGTGTTTCTCATAGAAACTTATCAGCAGTTCCGGAAACTTGTCCTTCATAAAGCCATTGTCCACTATGACTTCACTACCATCGCATGTCACAGCTTTGAAATACATATAAACATGTCGCTTTCCTGTCTCCATTCTCCAATCAAACCACAGTGCCGACTTGATATGTGTGATGTGATCACCATCACCTCTTGGTCGCAGTCCTCTCACTTCCCCACCACTAAGAGAAGAAAAGTCAATCAGATCGGACTTGCGAATCTCGCACGTCGGCTGAGAATTAACAAAACTGTGCCAGCCCTCCGTCTGAACTTGACATCCATTTCCCCTGGTCACGACTGAACGCTGTTCTTCGTGTTGAGGAGCCTCATCGACAGGCGTCAATTGTTCGTGATGACCAGAAACTGCAACTAGTTGCAGCAACTCGCTGCACTTCAGATCTGCGTGTCGCGCCAAGCATGGCACAAGACCACGAGCTTTCTTCGGAACTCCACCGACATCCTCATCAAACCGTGCAGCCATACGTTCAATCTGGGATCCAGCAACTGTCTTCGTTATCAATTTCGAAGTGTAATTAAAACCGGATTCGAATCCTCTCTCCAGTGAACCTTCTGCTGTGGTCCGAGGGTCACCCGCAGCAGCAGCTGCTTCATGAATAGCGTCCTTCACATCTCCGTTCGCAGGAGCCAGAGAATCAGAAAAATCCCCCAGTCCTAAACTTCTCCCTAAACTTCTCGTTCCCACGTCCAGATTTCTCGAAACTTGAGCAGCTTCCATGTCGAACTCGGACTGACACCAACCTCGGATCTCACGAGCAGAAGAGAGAAGGGATGATTGTAGACTCAGGAGGTCTCCGGAAGCAAGGAAGGAAGAAAGGCATGGCACTTCCTATCTCTTCGAGCTATTGACCGACCCCGTCGATCCCAAAGGCTCGAGCAGTATAAAGCATCTGCACATACGAGGGCCTCGTCCTGGTTCCCACAATGTTGGCATGCCACTCTCTGCTCTCTCTGCTGGCGATCCTTGCAGAGGCTTTCCCTTCCGAGCGATCGCATTCCGCAAAGGCATCGACGGTGCCAAACGGTGCAGTGCCAAATTGCAGAGCCTCGGAGGAAATGGGTCGCGCTGATCTGGTCGGCTCACGCTGATTCCCACTTGAAAGCCAACGGTACGAATGACCGGTGGTGGCCACTTGTTCGTCCTCCCGACCCGACTACGAGGGAAGACCAGCGCCGCTTCAACTCGATAACGTCTGAATTTATCCTTCTGAATTTATCCTTCTGTCGTTTTCATTGGGTCGCTGTTTACATCTGTCCCATGCAGGATATAAATGTTCATCCATCGGTTTCTGTAAGCCGTGGATTGGGTACTGAAATCGAAGCTTTATAACTCCTTACAAAAATGCACGTGCATGGATGAAGGCTTGGCACATGTTGATGGCGGTTTGGGTCCATTGCAGTCATCGGTATCATAATATTTGAGAAAATAACATCCGAGTCTGTCATGATCATGAGATTCTATGTGGTTTACTCATCGTCTTTAATCAAGTCATGTGCAGCTTCCATTTATTACTAGAAAAAGTTTTTTGGGTTTAATCAAAGGATAGCTTCTTTGATGAAACTGTTAAATTGTCCATAGAAGGTAAGTATATTTTGTGCAATTAATGCAATCTAAGATTTCATATTAATATGAATTTTTTATACAAATATTACATGTCCACATTCACACTATAGCTAATAAGATGTTTCACTTTTGAAGATGACCCCCTTGAAGACTCAGACTTTGACCCTCTTTTTTTCTTTCCTCCCTGCCTGTGTGGTTTTAACAAACCATGTGATTCATACTTGCACATAAATTCAAGCAACTGTATGTGGAATATCGAATTAAGGCTAATATGATGGCAATGAAGTCAAAAAGTCAATGTGTTACCTCTCATTAATTCTAAATGGGGGTGTTTTCTTTTAAAATCACTTTTGTATTAAAAACATGGAAGAGGACATGTCTTTGACATAAAACTATAATGAACGAACACTGGTAGCCTCCATGAACATGCATTGTGTGAAATGGAGAAAAAAAGATGGATAACACCTCTCTACAAATTAAGTACTGGCTTATAAGATATATGTTTTATGTTCATATACATATTCATATTTTACTTTACATGGTATATGTACTTGTTGAAAATTTCAGGACCCGGAGACTCATGTAAATTCTTCTTTACATTATATTACAGTCAAGGAAACTTCCGCTATGTTGAAGATTGGCACGGTTGCACTGTTGCTAGTTAAGATCGATGACTATGTTGATGGATCGCTTAAATGGTATCAAACTCTAAGTCTTCGAAATGTTTGTTATCAACTGCGAGTTCGGCGATTCAGCTGTGAAAAGAATTTGTCCTCCGCAAGTTTCCAAAGGTCGAACTTGTGAGAAACGCTCACAAACGGGTAAGAGGAGACAAGATGGACGTGACACATGCAGTGAGCTATACACGCCTGCCTACCTGATGCAACTGTACTGACAGAAGATGGTCACATTGAGCTGATGGGAGCATACATTGAAGCGTCCATGTGTACTGTCACTGACCATGAATAGATGCACTTGTCATGTGCAAGTTGTCTCTCTGATCTGAGCTACCGCCAGCATATGTTGGATTCGTGCTGTCTATCGATTTGAGTTCTGTCTGTACTGAGGATCCCAGACTCGGAGTGTATTATTCCTCCGTATATGTCTCTTGAATTAGCCCTCTATGCTCTGCATGGATCCGATGGTACCGAACGCCCCAGCTACTTCTACATCAGGGCTTTACGTCTGTTGTTAGGCTTCCAAGCAGATAATGTTTCGTTCTCAACTACTGTACACCATGTCGCTCATGCATCTTGATTCAGCTTCTTGTATCGATGGTCAGCGATTGCCTGGATCAGAAGGAGGAGGCCCGCTCGCTCATAGCTTGAAATGCTTGAGAGAGAGAATATGAGAAGTGTACGAGGCTTCAAGGTCACTGCCCCGCTGGCTCATTGGAGGACTCCCTCCTCCTGTCCAGCAGCCAAGTTGCCAACGTTAGAACATTCTGGATGGGTGGCCAAAACCGTCCTCAACTTCGGGAAGGATTCTATTTCAAGTGTGTACTTGGCAATGAAAGGTTCAGTTATTTGTTTTGTAGTCTCAGTGTTTAATATTGCCCTCTTCTGGAAGTTGTCCACATATACTTGGTAGTGTCCATTTATTTATAACGTTACTCCATAGCACTTATCTCTCCTGCCGAACGCTTCTGGCCTGACATAGTAAGATTATATATAAGCCATGTGAGATGCCCAAGTATCATTTTTGTAACTGATTCTATATATATCAACGTGAGTGCAGTGCATCAGTGCAAAATTATATATTTTTTAGGGTAAGTGTCACTGTACACTTTGCCCACTTGTAAGCTTTATAAATGATCCACTTGGACTTTAATTCTACTGTAGGTAACATACTTTTAAGAGACTCTAATCTCCGGCTCACTAAGTGTTAGTGTGTCAATCTGTTCCATTAGTGTCGTAGACTCGAATTATAGCGCCAGCTGCGTCACACAAATATAAAATGTATGCTTCCTCGCTTCTTGAAACGATGAGATATGTTCACAAGGCATACTTTTGACTTTCTGATGTATACTCAAAACTTCTCCAGCCATTTGGAAGAACGCGTGGGGAGATTTGCAGGAGTGATTCAAGAGCATCTTTGGATGACTCCAAGTTCTCTGAAGTCTGGTGTCTATTTCATGATTGGACAAAGTTTCCAGTTAGGTTCGAGTTCTATTGACTACTATCTCAAAAATAGTCCTTTCTCCAAGTTGGATTTCAATCCAACAATAAAAAATTCCGATTGAAGATATGTATATTACAAGCATAAGCTGAACAGCAATTCGAAGGCGTTAGGAAATAAAGTAAAAAAGAATTACCCCTATAAAATATTACAGATCCTTGATCATTTTAATCAACGAAGGACATAACTCATCATCTCCGGAGGTTCATGGAAACTGAAGGCATCTGCCAACTTCGCATGGTTGCTCCTAAGTTCTGCATTCATGATTCAGTAGTTCTCTTTCACTGATGATGCAAATCTAGCTTACGACAAAAATTTGATACCAATGAGCAAGTCAGTCTAAGTAGTCTTGTTAATATTACAACCGAGAGTGTGCACGTGAACATATTACGTCAACTCTCTTATTATATAGCTGCTGATGACTATTGCAAAAATTTCTTGGTTGGTAACTGGAACCCCGTGATGGATATCATTTGTAATGGGAAGTACTATTACAGCAAATACTCTCAAAGGGTCGTCACTCTTTTGAATCCCTATCATGCTACTAAGCCTGGTTCCCTGTCCTCTACTACTACACTAGCACAACTACAGCGCCAGGTATAGTGTCTTCGAACTCACACATACATTTTTCAGGTTAATAATCTAATCCTGTAAATCTTAACTAGTTGTTTTTATGGGTGTATGGGCTCGTAGAACTACGACTGATTACTGCAGATTCTCTAGAACATGGAAGCAGCTTGTATTCTCAGTTCACACTCAAACTTCTTCCTTGGGAGGTTGGGGAAGTTCAGAGTTCTATATCCAGTAAAGGATCTGCAGTAGACAAGGTTTCATCTTTAGTTTGCAGCTCATAGTAAGGTATGCCTCGTAGATTAGCATGACGCAGATTCAAGTAGAAAAATCCACCGATTGCAAGTCGATTGCAATCGATGGCTGTTGGACTGAGATGTATGACTCCTGGTGTCTAATGTATAGTACGAATTCATGTAGAAGCGGATTCGATTGACTAAGGTAGGAGATTATCTTATGAGATCAAAAGTGAACATCCAGCGCACATTATTCTTTCAGATTTCCATCCAGATTCTTGGTCGATTAGCGAGCAGAGTCTCGATCGGCTTGTCTCCCCTTCAGAAAGGGACAAGTATGTCGAATTCGAAACATAGAGGTATAGTGATTATACAAATGAGATTGGGTCATGGTGTCGATGTCGCTGCGTCTCACACAAAAGCATGTCTTCGGAAGCCACAGCTCTGGTCTGGCTTCATTGACTGACTGAACCGGATCACCGAGCAGATCTCCGAGCCAAGTACTCAACCAAACATCCCGAAGCAACAGCGATGGCGAAGGCAACTTTGTCGAATCGACTTCGACTGGAATCCACGGCACGCATCATCAAACCGGCGACAGGTCGTCTGAAAAGCGCGTCGTGCCGGCGGACGATTCTCTCTTGGGGAAGAACGGGGGAACGCGTTGCACATCGTCGTCTCCTGACTCGAGCTCTCTGTACGAGTCTCGCCCATCGTGACCACCGCCTCCGATGTTGCTCTCCTGCTTCTCGAATGGCCGGTCCTTGTCCTCCTTGCTCATCCCCATTTTGCACAGGAAGCATCCCATGATCGATGCCACAGGCTCTCCCCTTTCCAAACCTCGAACGAGCTCAGATTTCTGCCCCTCTCTCTTTATCTTCCGAAGACGACCGATCGACGAGCCCGCTTGCGCTGGCGGTCGATCGTCGTTAGAGGGATCTGTCTTTGCAACAGATCTCCGGCTCACCGAGCGCTAACATAATTCGAACGAAAGATCGACTCCACTCGCGCTACCGATTGTCGACTGTCCTTTGCAGAGGGATCTGTCTCGAGAACAGATCTCTAGCTCGCCGAGCACAATCATACTCTGAGCGATTCGTCTGCCTCTCACTTGAAGGCTGCTCGCTCGCTCTACCTCCCTCCCTCATGCAATCAAGCTCTGCAATCTTGCGGCGCGATGGGAGAACAAGATGTCAATCATGCTCATTGTTTGGATTCAGGTTGTCTCTGCTGCGGTATCTATAGCACGAATTGCGTAGAGCTGCACAGACGACAAAAGGTCAATAGCCGTGGAGGTTGTGCCTCGACTTCCACAGCGAAATATTCCTGTCCAGCTCCACCAACCGATTTTGCACATGTCATCTCCAATTCCAGATCCAATCCCTCCGCCACATCAACACAGAGCCCCACCCCCACTCCACTACCCGATCCGCTTTCTATGCATGCAGTGGGTGAGGGAGGGATGGAGGATCGATCACTCGAGCTGAGAAGGCACAAATCCTTCCTCCATAATCAAAATGGAAGTAAAAAATATTCTTCGACAGCGAGCCATCTCTGAATGCGACAGGCATTTTTCTGCTCTAACTCTATTCGCACACAATGTTCACAGAGCTGAAATTCTGAGCTACCGACATTCGAGAAGCGGAGAGATTCATGCTCCCCGTGAATTGTCTCCTTCTTCTTCTGACCATGCTGACCCCACACCGTCTGTTCGGTTCTGTACAGAAAAGCAGCGCATCGTGTGGCAGGATGACGTGCTTCGAGATGGGCTGAAGCAAGGCCTGGATCCAGCTTCTTCTGCAGGGCAGCATGAGAATAGCAATATCGGCACTGTGAAGCGGGTCAGACAAGCAACGCTGCACGCATGCGCGTTTCAATTTAGCAAGCTCCAAGTGTTTGGTAGGCCCTTCCTCGTCTGGCACTGGCTTTCCTTCCGCATGTCCGCCAATGTCGCCACAAGGCTTGTTGAGTTTCTGTTTTCTTGCTACATTTGAGTTAGGTCTCGTTTCTTCTGGATCCTTTTCATGAACTGATGAGGCTGTAATCTGAAAAAAATAATCTCCAGCTTTGTTGCTACGTGAGCGTCGTTTATTCATGTCCAGTTTTCATTCGGTGTTCTTCTTCGAGCTTCATGGTGAGGGAGAATCGTGGCGGATGCTTGGCGGCATGTTTGAGCTTTCTTAATCGGATGGTGTTGTTTACTTTGCAGCTTAATTACAAAGGATACTCATTCAGATCTGCTGATGCAAGTCAATTGCAACACACAATAGTTGACGACAAGCATGTCTGTCAGTGTATGTCGTGAAATATTGTATTCACTCAGCTTCTCCATATGTTTTAGTCGTTGACTAAGACAGGAGACTGTCTTTTCATAGTTTGATTTTCGGACCACAGAATCATTTGGCAACTTGAAGGAGCCACTGATCAACATTGAGAGAGCTGGCTTTCAACTGAAAGAAAGAAAGCCATTGACTTTGTATTTACTTTCTACTGACATGATGTTACAACTGCAAAGAAAGATGGAGATATGATTTTGGCTTAAACGCCTTCGGGTTTTTCCAGATGATTATAATCCAGTGCGGAGATATCCTCTATCTTTCATATTAGTGCATTTCTTTCATGTGTTTAAGAAAATTAGTATGCATGATTACAAGTTTTGTGGACCGAAATGTGAAGTGAAAGCAATTCCCGATAATAATCAACATATGTACCTGGATTAATAACAATAATGCATGTAAAATGCACAAAAGAAAATTTTAGCAAGTAGAAAAGTGATATAATTAAACATAAAAAAATCATATACATGTGTATATACACAACTCTTGAGATTATCACAATGAAAAAATTGTTTCACACTAATCAAATGTCCCAAACATATCATTAACCTAGAATATCAGTATTACATAATTTTCAACTTACAAATCCATGAAATACATGCAATCACGTTACACCTTTCTGGTTGAAAATGAAATGAAAACTCCAATCCACATTGGGACGTATAATCAGAAACATTTTCTTTGTCGTGAGATTTACTTCCAAATGTTGTCGACTTTGGTAGAAAAAGGATATACGTTCGCAACAAACAGTGACAGTCAATTTGATTCGCTAGATGGAATAATCACATTTTATGTCGATGAGGAGTAAACTATGATGACAGTATTTATGATATGTATATATTTTATCGTTAAACTGCTGTTTATAGTTCGATTTCAAAGAGGGAACAGATTTGGACTGTTGCTGCGAAATATATATACTATGTGTTTGAAGTTATTACCGATATCTGGAGGAAAATGTAAACGTTCATGTCTGTAGTTTCAGCGTCTAATATGACCTGTTATCTCCATATATGAGGTGGAACTTAATCAGTTCAAAATACGTGAATTTTTTGCATTTTTGCTTCGGAAACGTTGCCAGTGCCTACCAGGTCCAAGGATTCATGGGCTGCATAAATCGCGAGGTTTGCTTCTGTAATCCTCAGACCTAATCGCTCAATGCCAACTTCACCTTACTTCCGCTTACACTCAGATAGTGAAAGCCCAAACAAAACATAATGTCCACGAGATGTCCTAGCTGTTCGAAAAATCCGGATTCTCTGTATGAAGCCAATGTGACAAATTGAAGATAGATGTGAAAATAGACTTTGGTCCACAACTGATTGTTTCTCAAAAATGGGTTAACGTCACATTTCAAAGGAAAAGAATGACGTATAATGATTCAGGTACAATAAGCCTCCTTCTTGGAGGTATGAAGTATAGACAAGTGAAGAGTGTATGTGTTCTAGAATCACATCTAATTTACTACCTTCTCATATGTTACAAAATAAACCCCGCTAGTATTAATTACAGCATTCGAGCTACTCTTTCGTACAAATCCTGAGGTAAATTCCTAGGTAATGAGTTCGCAACGAAGTTGGCGATCTGCGACCAACATACAAAAGAGTCAGACAGCTTACGGTCCAGGAAACACCCAAGTGACAGATCTAATTTTTAAACAGCACAATAGACGGTCCACGTCACACACAACAAAATCGAAGGTAAAATCAGAAAGGAACAGTAATCTCTACATCCCACGGCGGTTAAAACCACATGACAAACTTCACTCCCGAGGATTTGCTCACCTTCGTCTTCAGCAGACGTACTGTTCCATCAGTGTCCGTCACATTGTCCAAACAAGTAATGGCGACCTTCAACAGGTCCGGTATACAAGCTTGTACTGAGGGAGAAGTAGTTCGGAGCGCCTCGACACTTCTTTCTGGGGTCCGCGTGTCGAGCGGAAGAAAAGACAACTTCGAAAGTTCTCTCAAAGCATCGCCGTAGCGAGAACTCCGTGCGTACTTGTGAAAAGCGAGAACTGATTCAAGCTGTCTGAACGATGCTTGCTGCTCGAGTATTTGTTCCACATCTTGTGAGCTGCATGAGGAGAATGAACAGTTACGTAAACATATATGAAGTTGGACGCTTCTTATTACGCTTCTTATTAATCAAGGACAAATATGCTGTGAATTTAACACATGTATCCCAAGTCTTAAGGCCCACGAATCATCGGTTCCATCATCGTGAGTGAGTAAGCGGGAGATTATTATAGCACAGGCTTTTATGGTCCCAAAAAAGTTAAACGATCAGGACACTGCAACCTTGCCTACAAAACACCTTTAAAGCATGCGAACGCGACACAATGAGTCATAGTTGCGCCAGAAACGCTACACAGATCCACTAAATGGTACTGGTGTACAACTTGCACATTAACACATCCGAGAACACACGATTTATCGTCTTCCAGAGAAAGTAGAATTCCAGAGGGAATTTGATGAAGTTCAAGCGATTATGGACCGCATGAAATAAATAACCCAGGACTCTGCACCCTTGCCATACAGTTAGCAAGACAAAAGCGGCCCCAGTTAAAAGGGTTAGTTTACATAAGGCCCACGAATCATCGAAGTTCGTCAAAATGTGTGTGAGTAGCGGGAGATCTATCTAGCACGGGCTAGAATGGTTCCGAAAAAGTTAGCCAGTCAGGACATTGCAACCTTGCAAATGAAAACGAGTCAAATCTACGACATAATCAATGGACCCTGGACAAAATGTATTGTTGCTATAAATGTAACCCGAATCTTAAGGCCCACGAATCATCGGAGTTCAAAGTGAGTGAGTAAAGCGGATGCTCAATCTAGCAGAGGCTATAATGGTTCCGAAAAAGTCAGCCAATCAGGACCTTGCAACCTTGCAAATGAAAACGAGTCAAATCTACGACATAATCAATGGACCCTGGACAAAATGTATTGTTGCTATAAATGTAACCCGAATCTTAAGGCCCACGAATCATCGGAGTTCAAAGTGAGTGAGTAAAGCGGATGCTCAATCTAGCAGAGGCTATAATGGTTCCGAAAAAGTCAGCCAATCAGGACCTTGCAACCTTGCAAATGAAAACGAGTCAAATCTACGACATAATCAATGAACCCTGGACAATATGTATTGTTGCTAATAAATGTAACCCGAATCTTAAGGCCCACGAATCATCGAAGTTCAAAGTGAGTGAGTAAAGCGGATGCTCAATCTAGCAGAGGCTATAATGGTTCCGAAAAAGTTGGCCAATCAGGACCTTGCAACCTTGCAAATGAAAACGAGTCAAATCTACAACATATTCAAAGAACCCTGTACAAAACGTACTACCGCAAATACATGTATCCCAAATCTTAAGGCCCACGAATCATCGAAATTCAAAGTGAGTGAGTAAAGCGGGTGCTCAATCTAGCAGAGACTATAATGGTTCCGAAAAAGTTAGCCAGTCAGGACCTTGCAACCTTGCAAACAAAAACGAGTCAAGTCTACGAAATATTCAATGAACCCTGGACAAAACGTACTGTTGCAAATATATGTATCCCGAATCTTAAGGCCCACAAATCATCGGAGTTCAAAGTGAGTGAGTAAAGCGGGTGCTCAATTTGGCAGAGGCTATTATAGTTCCGAAAAAGTTAGCCAATCAGGACCTTGCAACCTTGCGAACATAAACGATTCAAGCTTACGAAATATTCAGTGAACCCTGGACAAAACGTATTGATTGCAAATACATGTACCCCGAATCTTAAGGCCCACGAATCATCGAAGTTCAAAGTGAGTGAGTAAAGCGGGTACTCAATCTAGCAGAGGCTATAATGGTTCTGATAAAGTTAGCTAATCGGGACCTTGCAACCTTGCACGTGAAAACCAGTCAAATCTACGACATATTCCATGAACCCTGGACAAGACGTACTGTTGCAATTACATGTATCCCGAATCATAAGGCCCACGAATCATCGAAGTTCAAAGTGAGTGAGTAAAGCGGGTGCTCAATATCGCATAGGCTATAATGGTTCCGAGAAAGATAGACAATCCGGACCTTGCAACCTTGCAGATAAAAACGACACTGAATGATGGCGAAAACTGTTCATAGCAACCTAGACAAATCGTTTAGATCACGATGCATGTATCCCAAATCTTAAGGCCCACGAATCATCGAAGTTCATCAAAGTGAGTGAGTAAAGCGGGAGATCTATCTAGCACAGGCTATAATGGTTCCGAAAAAGTTAGCCAATCAGGACCTTGCAACCTTGCAAATAAAATAGAGAGAGATTAACAACATAACGTGCACGATGCACAATAGAAAAAAAAAATTTACACGTACATGTATCCCGAATCTTAAGGCCCACAGATCATCGAAGTTCAAAGTGAGTGAGTAAAGCGGGAGGTTAATTTGGCACAGGCTATAATGGTTCCAAAAAATTAAGCCAATCAGGACCTTGCAACCTTGCAGATAAACAAGAGACTGACTATTACAAAACTAAGTCAACAACAACATAATTGACCTTTACTGGTTCTATGTCATGGATCATCGGTGATATTAACACGACCTGATATCAGCATTCCTACCTGTCAACTCAAGTTTGCTACTACAGCTAATTGTTAAGAAGATAGCGCCATTCCGGCATTATGAGGCCCAAACTATGAGGACCTCAGTGAGTGTTTAAAACATACATTTCTGTAAGTTAAGGCACACAACAGCATCCATGGCAAAACCGTTCTATTTGGTGGCAATTGGTTGATGCAAAGTAACTACTAGGCGATACGCGTCAACATTCACACGCTAAGTGTAGGCTTAGCGGTGCTTCGCAACATCAAAGTGAGGAAAGGAGATCATCCAGGCATAAACTTAAGTAACCGAAATTGGTAAGACTATTGGTAAGACTAAGACACGGAGAGGGTAAGGCACAGCGGCTACTCTGGGAATAAACATAGTCCGATGTGACGGGAACCTAGTTCCAGGAAAAACCCAAAAAAGGAGAAACAATCCAGATGTTACCAGAGTTTGGGACTCAGAAATCACTACGAAAAAATGAGTACACAAGCTGGAACTTCTATGTAGCACGGGAAAAATTGTTCTGGAGTACGTTGACAATCAGAACAGAGTACCCATGCGGAAGCGCGCCACAAAATGCTTTACGGAAATTATTGGATTGAAGTATTCGAGGGCCTTAATGGCCCTCCGAATGGCGCAACAAAAAAAAGGTTCTTCGGTTGGGGGAAGTGTGAACATGTGCCCAGACTCCAATGTTCACGCATCATATTGTAGATCAGAGTGAAAAAAGAAGATAAGGAGAGGATTTAGCAAGGGAAAAATTGTCCTGCAAAACGGAAGCAGACAGAACAGAGTACCCTTGCAAAAAAGCGCAACTCTTTTTCTGGCAACATGCTGTAAAAACCATTCCCTGCCCGCTCACACGATCCTGATATTTCCTAGTGGATGGTAAAGTTTCACAGTAGTACCTTGGTCCTCCTGCCTTTTGAGCATCAAGTAGTTCGTTCCCATTCAGAACAAGACCAGCAATTTTCGTGTCGCCGTCAGACCGTCCACTAACCATAGCTGATATGGCATCCGAAAGACGTTGATTAAGAATCTCTAGGGCCATCGCATAAGCCCCGACATATCTTAGCAGCTCCACAGCCTGCATTACCAAAATAGTTAAGACGGTACCCTCGGACAAGTCAATTCGCGAGAGAACCTATCGTACCACCGGCAAGATCCACTCATACACATCCTGAAGCAGACGTTAGTGTCGTAGGAATCATGAATCAGAAGCATTCACGAATCTAGAGTCATGTAATAAAGCCCAATACCTTATCGTAAAGACCTGATTCTTGGCACTGACGGGCAGCATCAAAGAGAAGATGTTGCTGTGCTTGTGAATCTGGCATGAACCTCTTCAACATGCCATCTCCGATAACTCCGGTAGGCCCGAGCAAAAGCGCTACTCCTCCATCTCGGAGGAGTAGCTCCGTCAGTAGTTGCTTCATCATAAGTTGCCTCTGCCGTTGCTGACCACTACTGTTTAGCAGACTCCAGGAGATTGCACCACCACCAATGGCGGCCGCTGCCTGTACGTAGTACTCCAGTGCAAGATCCAAGCTACCTTGCCGAACATAAGTAAGGCCGTACTGCCTAATAATGCTAGCAATCTCGGAGACTGAGTCCATCGATCCCAGCTTTTGAGCATCTCCGCTTCCATCGGCCCAGAAACCAAAATCGGCCAAGGCAATGGCCATGTGAACTGCGTCGATAGGGTACCCTTCGGTGTTTCCCTCCTTCATTATGTAGGCTATCGCAGTGTGAAACTGCAAGCTCAGGAGGAGTATATAAGGGTACACCAGTGGATCCTTACCATTCTTGGTATAATATGACGGCTCAAATTTAATTAGATACCTTTGGAGATCCTCGAGAGTATAAGGGGTGAGACCTTGTTGCACAACACCGGCAATTGAAGCATCGCTTGCTGTGTCACGAACCATCGCGAGTTTGAACCACAAGAAGTCCTCAATGGTACTAAATAGGACCGGTATGTCTCGTAACAAACGGTCGCCTTGCTGTCTGCTGCCAGAGACTATAGCATGCAGAAGCATTTTCTTCTTATCATAACCGGGTCGTCCGGGCCTGTCTCCAGTTCTGGCCATTCGTTCACATTCTTCAGCGACGGCTGCGGCAGTCCCAGGTGACACACATCCTCCTGTCGCGATCCACTCAGCCAACTGCAAAATAAAGAATTTCAGCTTCGTTCAGTGTGCAAAGTTTAATGCAATAATACAAAAAGGCCTAATAAACTGGTCTACCCGGTGGAAATGTGAAATCTCTCCGGAAACAACGACGGCGCTGTTCGCACTGTCAAAGGTATGGACAGCTACTAAACCATGTAGTAATATTCTCCTTTCAAGCATGGAAGCAAGCAGAAACTTAAAAGCGATACTGTACGCAGAAGCACGCAGAACCTCAAAGTGTTTCCATCTGACCTGAGGGGCGAAAGTTCGACTGACTCTTGACGAGAAGGCGACATGTTGAGCTTCTTCGTAGTATCCTGATCTTAGGCAGAAATACACCTGTAATAAAAAAAAAAAATGCCCAATAAGTTGAGGACCTGAGGTACATGCGCCTCAAAGATATCTAAATGTTTGACAATGCGGACCAAGTGACCTAACTTGTGTAGTTTCCAAATAGTAGGACATACAAAAGTGCTATCTATCGAAGACTGACTGACCATTGTTATCCGAGCTTAAGTACCTGATGCCAGGTAGTATCCATTGGTGGTTGCCTCCGTACATCCGCGGTGTCGAAGTCTAGCGGACCGTGATCTCTAAGTCGGACCTGTTCGAATGAAGTTGAAGATGTTAGCAGTGGCACTCCGAACCGTTTGCTCTCAGTGCTAATGACTGCAGGTGACACCACGCGAGTTTGACTAAGCAAAAAATACCGCAGCATGTAGGTACACAATCTGAACCAAGTTCCAAAAAAACTGGAATGTTAAGCAATACTGGCTACGTCGCACACCAATCCTGGAAGCGCTGCAACCTTCACTCTGGACATCTATAAACCTCACTGCATGGTTCATTAAAACTCTTACTCTGAGAAACGCTCGAATGCGTTGTATGTTGCCTGTTGAACCGCCCAACGCTGCCTGTGAACAAGTTTAGGTCTCCACATCAGAGAGCAAATACAACGGGCTGAAACCAGCCTCCGCTTCCGCAAACATCATCAAAAGGGTTTGTGTAGAAACGGTGTCACACCTGCGCTGCATGGCTGTGAATGGTGTCAAGGATGTACTTCTCGTGGCCGACCTCCAAGTGTCGCCTGGCTCCAGCAATCATAATCATCTTCCTGGAGGCACTGGCGTTACGGTCCACGTCTTCTCCTAAAAGAGACTATGAACCATTACAGTTAAAAGTCAGATGAGCAGTTACTAAAACGCATGAGGTTTGCATCTCGTGGAGACAAAAGATGGATACTACACCTCACTCCTCAACAGGCAAACGTCCGTTCCAACGTTGGGCATCGACTTCTTGTTTAACTGAGAAATAAATGGAAGGCGAGTGTAGGTGAAACCTGCAGTAGGTGCCAGATCTTGGCCATGTTGACAGATCGTGGACTGGAATTCTCCCCGGCAACCCGACCATAAGCGTCTCTCAAAGATGTAGCAATCTGCATATCGACATAAGGAAGACAGTATCACATCAAAAAGAGCTACGAATACAGGTAAACTCGTCTGATGGTCAGGCTATCGACAGGAGAGGTACAGTGTACACACCTTGAAAGGCACACTTCTTTCCCTCGCGGCGTTCAGCTGGACAACAACGTCTGCGTACGCAGCAGCCTTCCTGTCCAGTATCGACCTGTGGCTAGATGAAGAATACTCAAGTACTCGGGTTTCGGGCGTAGCTCGAACTCCACCAGGTGTACCTCGCACTCCTTGGATAGAAGAAGAAGACACTGCCTCAACACTTCCTGACGTTGAGAAAGGAAGGCGACTCAGATTACTTAAAAAATCACGCTTTTCTTTCTGCCAGTCGTCCTGAACAATGACGAGGCACACTTGGTTACAAAACACAAAGATGCAACGGACGTTCGCAATATTACTATCAGTTCGCACCTGAAAGCAAAAATGCAGCAACAGGTGTAAAGAAGGGAGAATGACAAAGTGAGAGGGCGCAGACCTCCATGATCTTCAACATGTAGTCGTCAAAATTGCGCACATTGTCTTTATGAGCTTCTTGTATAGCAGAAATCATTGACATCTCGTGCACCTACGACAGATTCCACATTCTCGGATCAGGTCGTGGACAAGAAATCGGAGCATTAGTTCACACAACAGGATGGATCTAATTATCGCCCGGAGGGAGGTGGAGGTGGCATCGACATGAATAACAGTAAGAATCGAAAAAACAGACTCACGGCAGTACCTGTTGCAAGTACTCCTCCACGCTTGTGGCCTCGACCGGGAAAACATCCTCGAATGTTGTCTGTTACATGCTCAATGAAAAGTCAGTAAGAGAAACTCAAATGGCCGTGGGTTCGGTTTAACGACTGCGCCTCGACGCCAAGATCAGCAAACGCGAAGATTATCAAAACGACTACATCACCCATGATAACAGGAGGTACTGAAATGAATCTGAAACTGCATCCGAGGCTGACCTTGAGTTCAAAGGACTTCAAGTCTCTTGTGAGCTGGTCAGCATTGATGCCTTCTCTTGCCAGCAACCTACAGTCACAGAAAGAATTCTTCACGTTTCGAAAGGGAATCGATCTTCGTAAACTCCAGAGACAATAGACAGAGATATCAGCATGGAATGGGCAGATCTGCATCGTGCTGATGAACCTATGTACAATGATGAAATATAAACTTATATCTCACCGAGTTGCAGCAATGGTTTCATTCGGAGCCTCGAACCGAGATGTTCGCGCTTTCAACTGTCGAGAGAGGGTCTCTAGCTGATCAAGGCTTCTCTGCGACCACGAGAAGAAGAAGGTAACGTGTTGTGAGAGATCAGCACAATTAGAGCCTAAAATAATCAAGATAAGTTCAAGTTCAGAGCTCTGGGTCAAACAGGTGGCAGTCTCAAACTTCCAACATTTGCTTTAATTATGAATCAAAAAAACCAACTAAACGAGTAAGATCATACGCAGTGAAATTTGGGAAAGTTTGGCAGAGCTTTACAAATTACGACAACCACGCTACAACAGGAAGAAGTAAATGCGGGAGCTAGGCAGTACACCATGGACCGGACGTTTGACAGCCACGGTATCCATGGAATGCAGAAAAAAGTGAACCTTATAGAGATGGTAGTAGAAATGTGCAGAACATGCAGATGAGCAAATAACTCTGACGAACAGCAATGCTGGTAATATCTTGCAAGCCCGTATTCTAGCTCACGGAGTTCCCTCTTGTAGCCAATGCAGCTCATCCCAATACCTGTATAGGAGGAAACTGGGCAGAAGGTGTGGAAGAATGCAGAAGCTGGGACGAATTGTGCAAGAGGTCGGCCCAACTCCGCATGTCCGAGTCGACCGCCATCACGCTGTCAACTTTATCAATGTCGACACATTCCCACCGTACGGTTTACGGGGAGAAAAGGATCTAGCAACCGGAATGGGGGTGAAAACTGAATGTAAATAGTCGCAGCACCGTGTGGGCTTTAGTCAAGACTGGAAACAGCAAGAGAGCGAACAAAAATGTCCAGGAAAGAGGACTTTGCTACCATCCAGCTTAGATTCACACGAAGAGAAGGACCGTCCAGACGATCAAAGACTGCCAGCCACAATTTCAGGGATGCGCATGAGCTGACGAAACTCGGCCTCGACGTGCCGGCAGATGCACGCGCGACGAGAAGAGTCGAAAGCTCGGGGTTTTGGATCAGCGAGTGCAGAGCGGGAGAATGTCTAACTTCCACCCAAAACCCTAAAGTTCAGTGACATGTAGCTGCGAGCTTGCGAATATCGTATCCTGTCGGTCTACGCTTTCGGAAGACGTAGACTTCCTCATATTGGATACGGACCAAGGTTCGATCCATTGCCAACCAGGGCTGGAACCCGGGTTCTACCACATGGGTTAGCGACTCACTCCGCACTCGTCAGATTGCGAACTAGTTCCATGAAAGGTTGTCTCACCCTTTAATTTAATTGCTTTTCAACATCAAATATTCATCATGTAGTTGTTCATCTATCAGTTCATCTATCAGTGATAGTGTATGATTGCATGATTGTAATGAATTCCATGGGTAAGCGTAAAATTTATAGATTTCAAGTTTTTCAAGCATCAGATTATTTAGAAATTTCATTTTACCCTCTTCAAAAAGATAATATGGATGCTACTGTAAATATGTGAGTGAGTATATCATATTATTCCGTGATATGAGTATCTTGTTTACATTAGAAATCATGATAATTATAATACCATGATTTCTAGTGTACCGTGTAAAATATTATAGACAACTTGTATTTCTTGTTCTACAACGCTTCTCATAATTGAAAACTAACTGATATAGTTTCCTTCATTTCTTGTACAAAACTTCTTATGTTATAAGTTGCATTGCACTATCTTGGTACACATAGGTTGTTTAATGTTTTTTTCATCTTTGAGGCTTTAGTGATACTCCAATAACATAAAAGAAGCTAATAAAAGATGAAGTTTCGATCATCTTTATACATGGGAAAGTAATATTTTAGATGATATGAAAGTGTTGCTTCTAAGGCATATGATCTCGTTAATTTTAGAAGTAATTTGTGCTTAATGATTTAAATATATCATGAATTATTGGGCACTAGTTCATTGTTTTTCGTCTGATCAGTTATTTAGTACATTATATTTATTTACATTTTTATTGCATCAACATAAGAAATAAAATCAACATTAAAGATCACTCTAAATATTAGTACTCTAATTTATATAGAAGTAAATTTGGTGATGAAATATGTAGATTATTTCCTAACTCAATTTCATTTGATTGTCGACATGTTTAAAAGTGGTATGTCTTGTTAAAACTGTTAAAAGACATATATGGAAAATTGCTGAACATGGAGGGCATGCTAGAATAAATTTTAGACGTGCAATATCGCAAGCGGTAAATGGAAGAAGACAAACATGGGAAAATTTGTTCTTCTATTGTTATCAGTTAATAATCCGTTAAGTAGGTACTCTCTAAGTACAAAAATTGACGAAGCATTGACAATAAAAATAAGAACATGATAACATTGAGTGAGCAAAATAATTCTTTTAAGAAGAATTGAATTCCATATGAGATTTGAGCTTCCTTTGAGAAATGGAAACTGCAAATATCTATCAAGATATAAGATTTTGACTTCAAGAAAGATTGAAGAAGCATTGACTAGAACGTATCAAGCTTTGCATTTGAGGTTTGAACTTGAAAAATGTTACTGCTTCAATCAGTAGAAGAGGAAGGGATCCAACATAAGCAAGCTTGGCTTCATCAAAGGCTTATTTTGACAAAAAGTATCACTTATTTCAATTAAAGTTTTTTTTTCTCGAAGCACTTATTTCAATGGGTTGAAATCACATTTCAATCCCTTGAAGTGTTTTTTATATTCTTACTCATAGGGTAAAGTTACAAGAGTCTAGGGCTAGTTTTCAAACTCTTTGTAAATGTAATTCCATAATAAATAAATAAATAAAATTAATTATAAGGAAATAATTGAACCTATGTATGAAGAACACACCTCTAAACTTTCAATCGAAGTAGAAAAGATATAATAATATACACCTGAAATAAAAACATCTCTTTCCATGTATTCGAAAATCACCCACAAAAGGTTACGGTTTCCCTCAGATTGGACACCCATGGACGACGTATAGTATCTTCTAATGTAGTTTCGCCTTTGAAAGCGTTGATACTTCTCAATGCCTATGCATCCATTCCGACTCGCTTAGTTGCACAAACTTTTACAAACGGCCGTACTGCCAGGTGTCAGGGATCCCAGTTTCTTTCTCCTCTTTCTTTCTTTCTTCATCCTCCCTTCGGGCTGCCCCGGATCAGCCGGATTTTATCTCAGTTTTGGGAACGGGGAGGCGGGGCACTTTGCGGGGAGGGAACGGGGAGGGCACTTTGCGGCAACCATGTAGAGGCCGCAACGTTGTATCTAGTGCGTTGCAATGATCTACGCCGCAACAATGATCGCAGTCGTGTCGTGGAACGTTGCGGGAAAAAGAACTAAAACTGAACTGCAAGAGGGATAGCTCAGATGGAATCCCTAATATTCAGACTGTAATATTTGTAATGAAACGGTGATAACAAATTGAGGCGACAAAATTTTAAGCGGCAAAGATTAGGGTTTTTGAAAATAGAATCACATCAATATTCTCCAGCTCGTCGTTTTGACGTCGCTTTTGGGTGCCAGTGTCAGTGCTTTGAGGAGCTCGTGCCAGAGCTCGTGCTTGTACTTTTCTTGTCATTTCAGGTGCTTTTGTAGGTGTGGTGACAGCATGGAGGCAGGATGGATTGTGCAGGACCCACCTTATGAAGGCCCTTTCAATTCGTTAATGTTGAATTGGTCAAATGGGACGGCCTACATCAAAAGCTCGAGGCTTCACGATTTTGTTTCGGGAGAGGTATCTTGTCATAGTGATGCGAAGACAGAATTTGTGACACGTTGCTCATACAAGGGTGGAGGTACTAGGCACAATTGGGAATCGTATGCAATGTATTATTGCAAGTATGGTACTCCAGAAAGGGGCAAGAAGAGTATGCTTTCCTCGAATTTTATTCAAGATCCATCAACGAAGGCAAAATTTGGTCCTGGTAGCAGGGATAGACTAGATCATGATTCGCATCACAAGGGCTGTCAGTGCAGGTTTAGTGCCATTAAACTGTTGTCGAATAACACATTCCACCAAGAATCACAAAATTGATATACAAGCATAGAAGACACGTAAATGCTGCAGGTGTAGCTTGTCATGGCACAGCGTGTTCAGATAGTGTTGGCTTGCCATCTCAAATGGCGCGCAATTTATCCTCTGAATGCAGGTAACGGCATATTTGTTACATTTTCAATATATTTGTTTATCGTTCACAGTCAATCTCCCGTCATATTTGTAATATCTACAATAAGTTTGTTGTTATTACAGTTTGTAAAACTTTGACACTAAGCAAGCACGTTGTCTAATATTTTCTACGTTCTTATGCCAGGGAGTGGGTTGAATGCGAGTTAAGAAGAGGTTTAACTCCTCCACAAATTCTCATGCGTGCTGCAAAAGCACTGTTTGAAAATCATCAGCGCTTAGGCTATGTGCAAGGGTCCCCTATTAGAGATCATTATATCACATCTGCCGATGTGTATAATATCAAATTGGAACTGGACAAAGAAACTTGGAGAAGGCATGCTAATGATAGAATTAGCACAGAATTATGGATGAAAGCGAATTCATCTCAAGTTGTTTTGTATTAGGCACCAAAAAGTGATCCATTTAAACCATTGAGGCTTGCTGTTACAAGACCCTTGCTCCTAGATTGGTTGCTAAAACATGGAAATGGAGGTTGTGTTGCTATAGACGGAACGCATGGCACGCAGAAGTATAAGGTAATATTCTACTACCACATTTTGATGTTTTTATCATCAGGCTTCCATGATTATGTATATTCTACCTTACTATTTGCAATCTCTGCAAGATATTTGAAAAAATGACGGTTTGGAGCTTTCACCAATCCTGTAAGAGATTATTGAACGTCTCAATGTGTGATGTATATGTTGTTTTATATACCTTGATCACGTCTAAATTATCAAGACATAAAAATAGCGAATCATTCATTTGTATCAGGTTTAGCTTAGTATCAATGAAGATGAATACTTTGTAGACGATTGCTAGCAGCAAACTGATACGTTTATTTCATTTTTTGCAATGCAGTATCCACTGTACACCCTGATGGTGTTTGACGAATATGAACACGGACATCCTACTGTTTTTGGATTCCTCGAAAAAGAAGAAACAGAAGATCTGGTGGATTTATTATCTGCAGTGAAGAAGATGGCCCAACATTATATCCCTGGATGGATGCCCTCGTGCTTCATGACGGATTGTGCTGACAATGAGAGACTTGCCCTAGACATTGTTTTTCCGCATATCCCTGTATTTCTTTGCATATATCATGTTCGAAAAGCATGGACAAAGAAATTGATTGAGGTTGTGAGTGGTCATGAAAAGAGAGCTATTATGAATGCTGCTTTAGAAGACCTGTGCTTTGGAAGCACATTAATTGCTGATGGAGAAGAATTTGATGTGGAAAGATCTGCTGCGATGAAGCTTCTGTTATTTTACAAAAAATTTCAGCTCTCTGAGCCACAATTTGTGAAATACTTTCAAACAGAATGGGAACCTTGTATGGGTAAGTGTAAGTTTGTAACATGTGCATTATATTTGAAGTTATTACATTTTGGAAATTGTTTTTTGCTTAATGAACTTCCACAAGCACATCTAACTTACTGTTTTGGAATTCAGGTGAGTGGATTCGTGATGAACGGAGGAAGACATGTCGTAACAATCAAGATACCAACAACGCTATGGAATCAATGCATGGACACATGAAGGATTTCCTTTATGGCTGGCGCAGGAATGCACATGAGCAACGTTTGGATCATACAGTATATGGTCTGCTAGGGGATTTTGTCATGAGAATTTGGTACAAAGATCAGAAGAAGCTACTTGGCTTTATTCCAAATAAGAAGAAAGATCAACGTGTGATTGCTGTGATCATGAAGACAAGATCTATGCTAACTGTCCCTGTTACTTGGCCTCATGGCTATGCAGGCCCCGCATTAGTGGGCTCTACATCAAAGCTAAATAGAAGGTATCTTGTAAATTGGAGACGAGAAAAGTATGCATGCGAGTGCTTCTGGTCACTCCAAGGCAACTTTTGCAAACATCAGGT